ATCCAAGAGATACAGGGAGAAGAGGGCAGAGCAGGGGAGACGCCATCCAGCTGCCCAAGGAACAAGATGCCAGCAGATTGGTAATGCCACAGCCACGTGGAAATACATAGATTAATAGAAATGGGTTAATTTAAGATGTCAGAGCTAGCTAACAATAAGTATAGACCAAACAGTTTGTAAATAATATTAAGCCTCTGATTGGTTATTTGGAAACAGGTGGGCGGGAGAGATTTGTCCCTTTACATAAAATGGCAATTACATGTGTTTTGAGATCCTACATCTCCATTTGGAACAACCAGCAATGACAGACAAATGCTTTTCAGAGAAGAATAAAAATTTAGTCATAACCACAATAATAATAAAACAAATTTTAAAAAAACAAAAGGATGATAATCATCTCCACGAAAAACAGGAACAGAAATCCTAAGTGATACTACAAGAAGAGGTAGCCAGGTCATCTTCCAGAGGTACACGTGCTCCAAATGGAAGTAAAGGCAAACAGGTTTCATCTCTGTACAACCATCTACAGCCTGGAACTTATGACCTGAGCTGCCAACCTTAGTTGCCCATCACTTACTCCACCAGAACACTGTACTATACAGCAGTTTATAACACTGAAACTATTGCTTCCACTTCCAAAGTCCCAGCACTTTGCCCCTTACCAAGGAAGGTATAGCTCTCCATAATTCTCTTAGTTCTCTACTTTCTTCCAACCCATTTCTTATTTATAGAATATCCCTGAACAGGATCGCTTCTGTAATTTAACATATTAATAACTCTACCACTTTAAAAAGAAGCCTTTCTCAATTATTTACATGTTGATGAGTATTCACCTCAGAACCCTCATAAACCACTTCTAATGTAGGAAGCAGCAATGAAGTTGCTTGGTGCCCAGAATGAAACATACAAATTACAAGCTAACTTATAAAGCTAGAGCAGAGCATAGAGCATAAACAAAAGAAATACAAGTTCATCATTCACCCATATTTACTATGCAAAGTGAAAGTTTTATGACGCTTTGAATAATATATATTTGTTCTTCTATATAGGCAACTAATTCTCTGTAAATAGTAATGCATCCCTACCTAATAGCTCCCTCCCAGTACAGAATCTCTGGACAGGAAGGAAGGCATCAAACTTCCTTTGTGGGAAGGCAAGGACTCAGGTCTCTGCAGGCTTCCTACCTTTGAAACAACTAGTGCCAAGAGATATAACAACAAACACAACTCTTAAAGCTTTGCATGGTTTTGAGGACTCAGAGAAACTAACAGAGACAAAAAAAAAAAAATAGTAGAAGAGACAGAAGCAAGAAAGGAAAAGGAAAGAGGATAAAAGAAAGATCTGGGATCTACAAGCAAAGAATGCAGAAGCCAAAGAGCTAGTTCCCACACCAACACTGTAATGGACAGATGTCTGGTCCTTCCAGCCCCTGAGTCCTACCCTCAGAAGTTTTGGGTATTCATCCTGAGATTCCAGTAGTAACCCTCAAAGGAATATAAAATAATTCTAATTGAAACCACTCCCAAATTCCTGCCAAAAGCTAAAACAAATCCATGTAGAAAAAGAAAGGCTTAACAAAAATTAAATCTGTATGATTCATATTGATCTCACAACAGACGCAAGAGAAGAAGTCACTGTGTGGGAAAAGATAACCAACAGATTTAAACTACTAAACACTTCAGACGTTACAATTACCAGATCTAAAATACAAAGTACCCAGCATGAAGGAGGGCAAAGTGGGCATGAAGTCACACCTCTAGCCAAGAAGCTGTCTGCAATTGGTATCTGCAGGAAGAGGGAAAATTAGTTTTCTTCAATCAACCATAGTCCAAGGCAAGCCTCATGCTCCGGAGTAGCCATCCCACACAAAACAGACACCACGGTTGTTGGGATTCTGTTATTGTTGCTGTTTGGAGTGGGGTGGGGTGGGGTAGGGTGGGGTGCCTTTTTTTTTTTTAAGAAAGAGAAAGAACATGATGTTGGTTAGGTAGGGAGAGGGGAGGATCTGGAAGGAGTTATGGGGAGAGAAGGAATATGATCAAAATATATTATATGAAAACTTTAAATAAAATTTTTAAGTATGTAAAAATTAAATTACCTAAAACCACAAAAATTACAAATCCTTAAATGCCAGCAAATTATTAGTCCCTGAAATATCTAGAATTGGAATGCACAAGAGTCATCATCTAATTAATACAGAGAAAAGGGAAACTTGAAAATGTAAAAACCCATCTATTTGTTTTCAAATAATCTGACCACACTAGAAATGGAAACAAGCTTGTGTAATCTGATGGAGCAGCTATTAAAAATTACAGAGTATGTTAGTCTTATTGGTGAAACATGAACATAAGTGAAACTCTCTTTGGGATAAAAATATAATGATTATTTTTATCACTTCTATTTGCAAATGTAATGTAAGGCTAAGCCAGTGCATTACATGAAAAAAAAAAAAAAGACCACTGAAAAAGTTGGCCATTATCTACAGACAAAGAAAAAAAACACCCAATGGATAAATTGAAGCTGAATTTTAAATTGTGGAATAACTATTAGAAATAAGCTGGGAGCACTAGACAAGTCACAGATGATAGTATGCCATGATGACACTTGTGTTACACTCAAAACCAAACAAAAGTACACAACAAATTACTCAAGAGTACATGTAGCAGTAGCCGTGTGTGTGTGTGTGTGTGTGTGTGTGTGTGTGTGTGTGTGTGTGTACACAAAAACCAACCATGACATACATTCACAGGTCAAAGGGCAATCTCAGATGTCAGTCTTCATCTTCTACCTAGATTAAGGCAGAGTCTCTCCTGTTCACTTCTATGTATACAAGGTAAGCTGGCCTGAGAGCTTCTCCTGTCTCACTCTCCTATCTCCCAGTAGGGGTATGCTGAGATTTGTTTTTTGCCTTTTTTTTTTTTTTTTTTGGAGCTGAGGATCAAATTCAGGGCCTTGTGCTTGCTAGGCAAGTGCTCTACTACTGAGCTAAATCCCCAGCCCCGGGGTATGCTGGGATTTTAGACATTTCCTCTACCCTATTTGGCTTTTCAAGTGGGTTCTGAGGAATCTCAACTTAGATTGTCAGGCTTGTGTGGTAAGTGCTCTACCCACTGAGCCATCCCCAGAGCCAGGTAATACTATTTTCTCCTCCTCCTCCTCCTCCTCCTCCTCCTCCTCCTCCTCCTCCTCCTCCTCCTCTTCCTCCTCCTCCTCCTCCTCCTCTTCCTCCTCCTCCTTCTTTTTCTTAAGACAGGGTTTCTCTGTGTAGACCAAGCTGGCCTTGAACTCACAGAGATCTGCCTGCCTCTGCCTCCAGAATGCTAGGATTAAAGGTGCATATCATTAAGCCCCAAAGTTGATTTCTGTCCTTCACAGGTATGTATGCATGTACACATACCCCCATACACACTTTTCTTTTTATATTTATTTATTTACTCATTCATTCATTTTTGAAACAGGGTTTCTCTTTGTAACCTGGCTGTGCTAGAACTCACTCTGTAGGCCAGGCTGGCCTCAAACTCAGAGATCCACCTGCCTCTGCCCCCTGAGTGCTGGGATTAAAGGCATACACCACCACTGCCCAGCTTCAGTTTATCTTCTTACACCAAACTATGCACACACTACTACAAACTATGAATAATCAACATTCTGAATTTATAATCTAGAGGGTCCACTATGTAGTTCACTCTGGAAAAGAGCTTGAGTTTGCTCCCAGAGCCCACTTGGTAGAAGTATAGAACCAACTCCCAAAAGTTGTCCTCTGACCTCCACATAGGCACTGTGAAATATGCACACACACCAAATAAGTAAGTAAATGTTTTTCTTAATTTATAATTTATTAATCTGTAGCTGAGACTAGTTTTTCTGGTGTTCATAATCTATCTCCTGCCTAGTAAGTAAGAATTTTATATTACACACACACACACACACACACACACACACACATTCATTGCCAAAAGCTAGATGTGGTGGCACATCTCTTCAAGTTCAAGACCAGCATGGTCTATACGGACTTCTAGGACAGCTAGGGCTACATGGAGAGACCCTGTCTCAAAAACATTCAAAAGCAAAAACACTGCCAAGGGGCTGGCAAAACGGTTCAGCAGGTAAAGGCCCCTTCTATCAAGCCTGACAACCTGAGTTAAATCCCTGGGACCCACATGGGGAAAGGAGAGAATTTACTGTAGCAGATTGTCATCTGACCTTCATATGCTTGCTGTGGGGTATGCCTGTGGCACAGCTATGCACATGTACACAAATAAAATCTAATTTAATTAAAAAAAAAAACCCATAGCCAAACATCGTTTCAGCTTTAAAGACTACCTATGTACACAGAGACATAGATATGCAAAAAGCATAACTCCATCAATGTCAAAAATAATTTATTGAGGGGCTGGAGAGTCTCAGTGGTTAAGAGCTGTACTGACCATTCTTCAAGAGAACCCAGGTACAATCCCAGCACACACAAGGCATCTAGCAACCATCTGTAATTCCAGTCCTAAGTGATCTGACACACATGCAGACAACACACCCTCATCCATACATATAAAAATAAATAATTTTTAAAATATTCCATGTATATGTGGAAAAACTGAGTTTCTGTATGTCAAATCCACATGTCAATAAGACAGGTCACCTATAGTTTGGGGACAGAGGACATTTATGTAAAACTCACATAAAAGTTCATATGAAAAGGAAAACAGCAAAAGCTATTACTATTTAAAATGTGCTTACTCTTCCAACTAGTACCTTTACATCTAGTTGTTCATACAAGGGAAACTTCAGTACATTTTTTAAAAAGAAAAATGACATCAACATTTTTAGCAGTATCTGTTGTAAAAGTAGGTAGAGGGCAGGGTACAGCCATGCACAGTCATATCTATTTGTCTTCAGGTAAAATTAAGGATCAAATAAAATATCTTATTTTTAACAAGGACTTTATAAAAGCTAAAATAATAATAATAATAATAATAATAATAATAATAATAACCAAAACTTACTTCAAAAAGAAAGAGGATGGAGTCCAGCTCCTCTCTTTGTGACTTATTATTCCCTGGAAATTAAGAAAAAGAAATTAGTCAGTATGCTAGTACTTAAGCTTTAGAGTATCACATATGAGCCGGGTAGTGATGGTGCATGCCTTTAATCCCAGCACTCGGGAGGCAGAGACACGCAGATCTCTGTGAGTTCGAGGCCAGCCTGGTCTACAGCATGAGATCCAGGACAGGCACTAAAACTACACAGAGAAGCCCTGTCTCGAAAACCGCCCCCCCAAAAAAAATAGAGTATCACACACGATGCTGAAAGGCATCTAAAATGCTGCAGACATGCATTAGGAACTACAGAGACGCAGGGGAGCTAGGAAGAAGGCCCTGAGTTGGCACATCAGGCCCATATCAACCACAGCCGCCTTATACTTACACTCTCTTATACTAGCTCTTCAAAGATAACGACCATGTTTTCTAAATTTGTTTCTTAACTAGGTACTCACCAGCTCAAATTATGGTAAAAATTCAAAGGACAAACAATATTAACAAGCACAGAGCATGAACATCTATAGAGAAAAGTACAATTTCACACTTTGTTTTTTGGGGTTTTTTGTTTTTTATTTATTTTTTTTTTTTTTTTAGACAGGGTCTCATTGTAGCTCAGGCTGGCCTCCAACTTGATATGTAGCTGAGGATGACTGTGAAGATTTGGTTCTCCTGCCTCCACCTCCCAAGTACTAGGATTACAAAAGGTGTGCCACCATACTCAGTTTTATGTGGTGCAGGAATCAAACTTGGGGTTTCCTGTATGGTAGGAAAGCTCTCTACCAACTGAGCTATATTTGCAGCCCCACAATGCCCTTTTGGTAACATTAACTGATAATAACATAAAAACTGCACCACCTGCCTCCAGCAGGAATTATCACTTACTGTCTATAGTATGTCCCAGACACAGTGCTAGGCATGCAGCTTAAGTCATCTAACTTAAGAATCAGCCAAGAGTAAATATTTGAGGCTTTTCAGATCTCTCTTGCAACTATCAGACTCGGTTGCCTCAGGCTGCATGTAAATGAATGGAGTTGACTATAACCAGTGAAGCCAGTGGAGCGTGGTGGCCCACAACCCTAATTCTGGTAGTGTAGGAGGCCAAGAACCCCCAGGTGCTCAAGGCCAGCCTAGGCTTCAGAGCAAGAACCTGTCTCAACAACAAGTACAATACCAAAAGTCAAGTGAGCTATCAGTTGCAGGCTCCTGACCTAACTGAATCCTCATAGCTCTAAGAAGTAGTTATCAATCATTCATTTACAAATACTAAAAACTATCTGTTTCTCAGGAATTCTGCTAGGCCCTGGGGACAAAGGAATGAACCAAACAAACACCACTCCCTGTTCTGGGGAAGATTACATTTTGACAGGAGGAGGCAAACTATAAATAAGTTAGAAACCCATGAGCAAAAGCAAATGAGGAATCCTAAACCAATAAGCAAGTCTGACTTGGGAAGTTGGGAAATACTTTGCTGGAAAACTGACAACTAGGCAAAGATGCACAATGGCCAAAAAAGCAGGTTACTCAGAAATATGAGGGAGTCACACACACCCCAGGCAGGGAGACTGGACCAAAGTTCCCGTGGCTGAGCACGCTTGACAGGTCAGGAAACAGCCAGAAGGACCGGAGGACCGGAGGCTAGAGCAAAGATGGGGAAGATTTGAGCAGATAAGCTCAGAGAGTAGGTGTGTGTGTGGCAAAGGAAGGCAGATCAGGGACAGGATAAAGTCACCACAGTGATTTGAGAATGAAAAGCCATTGAGGACTAGAGCCTCAGTGATCACATAAGTCATGGCTTCAGCACTCCTTTGAAAAGAAACTTGGGGGTAGAAGAAAGCACAAGAATGGAAGCGAGGAGACCCTTTCTAAGGCTAGTATCAGGATACTAAATGCTTTGGTGTTCGGTGTGGACAAGGGGATGTGACTTCAAGGCCAGCCAGGTCTATATAGTGAGTTTGAGATTTGCCAAGGCTACATAGTGAGACCTTGTTTCAACATACACACACACACACACACACACACACACACACACACACACACCCCAAAACAAAAACAAAATAGGAATGAAAAAAATTAAAATATCAGAGCTAAAAAAAAGGCCAATTGTCCAAAATTATTTTAAGTCACCCTGTTTCTACTGGTTATCACAGAGATCCTCCTGCTTCTGCCTGAGTGCTGGGGTTAAGGCTTGAGCTACCATACTCAGCTCATTGCTATTTTGACTGCAAATAACATGACCCTTTTCTCCTCCACATACCTGTAAAACAAAGTAGAGTAGAGCAAAACTAGCAAGGTAAATACAGATCATTCCAAATTTGGAATATCTACCCTTTGGGCCAAAATAAATTTTCTTAAGTTCAAGATTTATACCAGCTTATAAATCAGAGATGGAAACTGAGAAACACCTTAAGAAAAGCACATGCTGGCATCCCAGGACAGGCTACTGTGTCATCTGCTGCATACCAGAGCCCACTAATCCTTCCCCTCCACAAACAGGGCACACTTCTGTTTGATCACAGCAATTGGTGTACTTCAGGAAGCCCTTAGGTTTTCTTTCCTGTCCCCCAAAATATCTGACTACATTCATCCTCCAGCTTTTCTCCTTAGACAAAAAAGCCACTTTGTACTTGCCTCTGTCTCTCTACTGTTTGCTTGACTCCCAACACCCTTCTCCAACCCCCATACAATCTGCTGCCTCTCCTCGTACTGACTACAGGTAGGTACAGCCCTTAGCAGCTCTTCCCAGGCCACACATCCCAGCTCCCTGGGTGCTTTCCCCACTCTCCACCCTCTGCTCCATGTCCACCTGTCAAGTTCTGACAGTCCCTCAGCAGGAACTGTCCTCAGGTCAGACGCGAGCTCTCATTCCATAACCCCACTGTACCTCATCTTTCCGCATCATCAGGCTTTCTGATCCTGCAAGCCTTGAAATCTCTCCCCTGGGCTTCTGTCTCCACACAGTTTCCTAACACCCTTCCACTAATCTATCCCTCTCCTCTTCATTTGCTGACTCCCTTTTCCTTGGTATACTTTCTCCCTCGGCAACAGAAAGCTTCCACCCGCTTCTCCCAAGCTCAGATAACCTATATTTCTGCTGCCCAGCCAACACTTATTCCTGTGTCCCACAAGTACCTCAAATACAGACAAGTCAGAGCTGCCTTCATCCTCTTGCCTCCCAAATGCTGTTCTCGAAGGTTTCTGCAGCTACAATGGTACCTCATAAGTCAAACCGGGACCCTGAACGGCTCTCTGACATCTCCCTCTCCTGTGTATTCGGTCTCACAGGAACTCTTTCTCCTCCCCTAACCACTACCTTGCTGTGTCAGTCTTCCACAGTTCTCCAGCAGAGTAACCGCCCTCACATGGGTGACAGCATCAGCCCCCAACTCACCTCTGTGCTTTATGCACTCACCACTTAACAGGACACTTGTCTCAGAAGCAAACGTTTTTTAAGGGCTCTAACTAAAAACGAAGTCCCAACTCCTTAGCATAGGAGTCAAGGCTCCTGGCAAACATAATGGGATTTCCTCCATAACTCATTCACATACCTTATGACGCAAGAAAAAGAAGCACATTCCCCACACATGCCCTGAGGGCACTTTCCTGCCTTTGCTCAAGCTCTATCCTCTACCTGCAATGCTGTTCTCCACTTCAAATCTTACTTTCAGCTCCATCCACCCACCTACAACCTTCAGCTGAGTTCATCACCAATGACTAATAGAGTGATCAATCATGCCTGCATAATGAAGCCTCCATTGAACCCCAAAGATCTGGCTAAGGGAGCTAGCTCTCAGTTTGTGAAGAAGAATGTATCATGTACATGCAGAGTACTGTTCTCCAACTCCATGGCAAGGAAGTTCCTGTGTTCAGGACCTTCAGACCTCACACACAGCTCTTTATCGTAGGTACTCTTTAAAATTTGTATTATTCATGTGTAATGCAGTAAATGAACAAAACATTTGTAATAGATACAAATAAGTAAGGTTGTTTCCCCACATTCTGCCAACTCCTCTAGCAAATTAACCAACCCTGAGAAGAGACTATTAGACTCCTGATTATGGTCAGTCTGTTGCTGCACAGGAGACAACCTAGAACCTGCAACTTACATTAAAGGGGGCGGCCTTGTGGCATTCAGCCCTTAGCCTGCAGGATCTGAAACTACCTCCCAGCAGCCTGGCAAGACTGAATGAAGTTAATGGGCACCAGCTGATGTCTGCTGGAGACTAGCAGCAGAATGTTATGCTGAGTTGGTGTGAGAAACTAGGAAAAACACTTCCGTTTGTTTTTCCTCATTTTCCAGACAGATGACATGAAATGGAAAGGCAAAGACAGTGACGGTCCTTACTGACCAGGTGCTCTGTGCCAGGCTCTGTGCTACAATCCTAGTGGATCTGTAAGCCTGCTTGCTGCTCACAGCAGGAGACCAACACAGACAGGCCAAGTGAGGCTCAAGGAGAAACAGCAAGAAGGGTGAGAATAGTCTGACTTCCCAGCTACACAGTTCCCTCATCCAAATTCCCAGAGCTGGCCGGGTAGTGGTGGTGCATGTGTTTAAATGCCAGCACTCAGGAGGCAGAGGAAGGCAGATCTCTAAGAGTTCGAGGCCAGTCTGGTCTACAGAGAGAGCTCCAGGACTGCCAGGGCAACACAGAGAAACTCTGTCTCAATAAATAGATAGATAGATAGATAGATAGATAGATAGATAGATAGATAGATAGATAGATAGATAATAAATATCCCATAGCTGGTTTGCTTTCCGTAGAATATTTTACATATGGGCATAAATATGAAAACATATACAAACAAAACTCACTGATAATAGAAAATAATCTCTAAGGACAGACAGAAGGTACAGGCAAGGAGACACCTGACTTTCATTTCACAGCTCCTTTAATGGAATTTGATTTTAATGTTGGTGTTCTTTTACAGTGTTTGGCTTTTGTAGCAGGGTCTCACTATGTAGGTCTTGAATTCATGTTTTTTCCTGCCTCTGCCTCCATATTCTGGCATTATAGCTTGTGCCACCAAATGCAGCTTAAATCTGGATATTTTTTAAATGTCCATGCATTATTTTTCTCCCTTGCTCTTTAAATCATTTATCCCTTTGGAATCCATGCCTTCTGTGGGTTCCTTCTATTTCTCATTTTAGCCATCTGTTGTTCAATAACACCTGTGTAAGGGAACACTCAAGGGACAGAGAGATGCCAACCAGTCCACCAGAGTGATGTCTCAAAGCCTGGAAAGAAAGAAAGTTAAAAATGCAGAACTTGCCAGGCGGTGGTGGCGCACGCCTTTAATCCCAGCACTCGGGAGGCAGAGCCAGGCGGATCGCTGTGAGTTCGAGGCCAGCCTGGGCTACCAAGTGAGTTCCAGGAAAGGCGCAAAGCTACACAGAGAAACCCTGTCTTGAAAAACCAAAAAAAAAAAAAAAAAAAAATGCAGAACTTGTGGCTCATGACAGCATAAACATCTGAAATTTCCTGTGTACTCAAAAAGAGTTGTAGAAATGCTTACCTTTTAACTTCAAACTATTTTCCAGTGTTATAAAATTTTCATAGAAGATGAAATATATCTGAGAATAGTTGGTCTCAAAAAACTGCTTAAGATCGCTTGCATCCACATTATCTGAAAAGAGAAGTTTGCATTTATATCATTATTGGAATTCACAAATACAGCCAAGTGTGGTGGCTCAGGTCTTTAACCCCAGCACTCAGGAGGCAGAAGCAGGTGGATCTCTGTGAGTTCGAGGCCAGTCTGGTCTACAAAGTGAGTTCCAGGACAGCCAGGGCTGTTACAGAGAGACCCTGTCTCAAAAGAAATAAATCAATAAAACAAACTTCAAGGACAAATTCACAAACATTTTCAGAAATGAAAGAAAATAAAGCTAGTCTTGCACCCTCATGAGAAAAAACAAAACTGTATTCTCATTTGTTTATTCACCTAAGTGCACAGGGCACCAGTCACCACACAAATGCTTGGGCACCAGTGAGGCCCAGGAAAGGAGGTCAGAACTGATGGGGCCAACACTTCCAGACCAGCTGAAAGGTTGGAGGAACTACTGAGTTTTCTTTAGGGAGAAGGAAGCATGGAGATTCATGGAAGAGGCAGCTCTGACAGGGACCTCAAAGAGGGATCGGCCTGTGGCCTTTTAGGAAGTAACTGGTGGAGGTCTTACACAGATCAGCCTCTCCTCCCTCTCCACCACCACAGTTGTCTAGGCACAAAAGAGAAACCAGTTCAAGTGACCTAGCATGTCCTCCCCATACAACCCTGCAGCCACAGCACTGGGCTGTGTCCCCTTCCTTCCCGCCCTCACTCCCCCTCGATACTGTGGGTCAAGTGCTCCTGTTGTGAGGGTTTTGCTAGGATCAGGAGCTCTATGCCAGAGAAGTGAGTGGTACAGTTACTATCCCCACTGGGGTTCCTTCTTCCCAGGGGTCTGATCAGCCCAGGCAAAAACCTCGAAGCTGGGGAGGTTATCCACTTTCAACAAACCTTTGCCCATTTTTCTAAGACCGTAACATCGTTTGTGCCCTTACAAGATCCTGATTACTGGAGCTAATGCTGTAGAATTACACATGTAAAAGAAATAGAAACAGTCTCAAAATTCTAAAGATTACTAAGCAAAGAAACCTACGGTGCCATCAATCTGTAACAGAATAATATTCCCTGTGTTTGCAGTCCTGACTAATACTGTAAACTCATGTGGCACACTCACTGCAATGCCCAAGTCCATACAGCTAACAGTATCAAACAGCACAAACTACAGGACTTCCTTTGGTTACCATAGAAGGCCCTTTTGTGTAAAATTGTTTACAAGTTCTTTAGAATAATGCTCCAAAGATGTTTATAAACTCACATGAGTGGTCAATTTCATATTATTTTTATTGCCCAAAATAAAACACCACCAAACAGTAGACTCCTAGAAGCTGACAAATTTACCTTGGTGAAAACAGGCACAGGGAAAGTAATATCAGCCTACATGAATGCTATCATTCTTTTATCTCTGTATTTACTTACTCACTTGCTTGTGTATTAGTTTACTTAGAGACAAAGTCTATAACCCAAGCTGGCCTCCAACTCCCTATGTAGTGGAGGATGACCTTGAACTTCTAATCCTCCTGGCTCCACTTCTCTAGTGCCATGTCTGGCTTTATGTGGCACTAGGGATCGAATTCAGAGTCTCACACATGCTAAGCAAGCTCTCTACCAACTGAACTACATGCTCGACTACTGTCATTCTTAGGAGCAACACAGTCTTTCTAGGAATCCTCGACAGCCTTACTCAGAATCTGCCTGTTGCAACATGACATATATGTTCTGATGACCTCAGGATTTCCTGCTTGTCAGTACACAAGTGGTAGTCATTATTTTATCATTGACTGTTGTAGGGTGTTTCTTTTAGTCAACTGATTTAAGAAAATATCAACCATATATTGTGCTAAGTTCGGGGGGTTAGTGATGTATGAGTGGGACTGTAGGTTCTGTGAGGACAGGGACTGTATCTAACAGAGAAGCCCTGATTTGGTCAGCAGCATGCTCTGAGGAATGAAGCAGTATGACATGCCCCAGGACAGGGGAGGAACAGGGTGAAAGTCACACAGTGGAGGTGCAAACAGACTGGCAGGAAGGACTGTGTATGTTTTAACTACAGCTAAAAACCCAGTGGCAAGGCTGGCACTAAATGCCCTTTCTGCCAGAGCACTAAGCACAGGTGGCCCAGTCACCTCTCACTGTCAGCTAAAACACACTACCCCACTGGCAAACCTGTCTGCACCTCCTCTAAGCAGTTATCCCTAATAGACACCTCCACTGCACTGACTGTCCCCTTCAGGCCCTACCCTCTACCCGCTGTGACATCTTTACAGTCCCCCAAGTTCCCAAACATATTTTCCCCTTGGGTCCCCTCGGGATACTGGCTTGACTCCCAAATCATCCTATAGCTGGCTTGGCCTCATCCTTCAGAAATGGGGTCACCCATTAACACCTCAAAGGAATTCACAAATGTCTCAAGTGTCACTCTGCACTGTTCATCTGACCTCCTGCCTTCTTCCTTGTAGTGAAAGAGCCTCAGACTCAGGAAGCCACTGAGAAACCAGTTACTCCGTTACAGGGAGGTACAGGTACAGGAGCATCAATCCAGCCCAGAAAGGCTACTGGATGATCAGCAACTCTCTCACCTTATCCTTTGGCCCCTGGTCTCTCCAAGACATTCAAAATACCAGCAACCAGAACAAAGACAGGCCTCAAGGACTGAGGCGCTTCCATAAAGACCACAATGCTTTCCTGAAGCCAAAAGGCCAGGCAGCAACCACCCCTTCCTCAGCCACCCAGTCTTTCTTCTCGATAACAGCTTAAAGCTCTCACTGACAGGACAAACAGATGCCTTCAAGGTCATCCAGTACACAGTAAGCCAGGCATAGCACTAATAACACACTCAGTTTATCTACACCAGCTCACAACTCCTCACTGTCCTGGGAGTCTTCATCAAAGATAGCACTAAAATGAGCCAAAATTCCAACTTATCCAGTTACATCTGTACCACTTGGCACCCTCACTAGAACAGAGACTACATGAAGGCAGAAATTCTGTTTTCATGGTTCACTGCTGCCCCTTCTGCCCCAGGAAATGACCTGGGCTCCCCATTTGTGAAATGAATGAACAAAGTCTGAATATCAAATGTTTTACACATCTAATCCAAGATCCAGAGAATACAGAGTAAAGATAGGTCTTACAGAAAGCACTGGAATTTAGCATGGGAGGGGGGTGTGGAATAAAACAAAGTATTTTTAGCAAAACCAACTTTAAGAAGAGATATAAAAGACAGGTTTGTTCAGGGAGGGGGGAACCTTATTACCACAAACTTTCTTATAGACAGGCTTTTTTGACTAATTCATTCACTTCTTGTGCCCTATCAATGCCAAATAGGACTCTGCCAAGTGCTTAGAAATTCAAAGAGAATAAGAGCCAAGGCCATCAAGATGAACAGGTGAACGTAAGCAACAACAGCCAGGGCACCAGGGCTGAAGCCTATACTGGGCACCAAAGCAAGAAGTAGACAGCCCACACAGGCAAGTTTGGGGTATTAATAATGCATATATTATGGTCTGCTTTCTGCTTTACAAGACATTATCATGAGTTATTCTAGCATACCCTCACTACAACACTGTGAAGTAGATGGAGCAGGGTGGGGGGTGGGTAACATCCTTAAATGATGATCTCCTTTGACCTGTCCAAAATAACAAGCAAGTTAGGAAGTTAGGCTGGAGAGAGTTCCTGCCTGAGTCTCTGACTTCAAATCAAAACTAGAAGGCAGGTCAGGAATTTAGAAGAAAGAAATGACCCCCTGGAGATGTGCAGGCAGAGCAGAGTGAGCAACCATCAGCAAGAGTGAGGAGCAACATGACAGGTCACAGCTTCAGGGACTGGGAAGGGAAAGGGAGGAGGCAGGAGAAGGCAGAGCCAGGTGGGAGGCCTCCAGTGATCCTCATGTCTGACAAGAAAGCTAGCATGCTGTCTTATTACCATCAGCCAACTCCACCGAGTACTTCCAAAAAAACCACAGGGAAGCAAATGCCAGACAGCTCTGCAGAGCTTGAGGTCAGTTCTAAATTTTTGAAGTAACCCATAATTACTCATTCCCCTTCACCATACGCAGCCAGTAAACTGCATTACTTTCCCATTATATCTCAAAGATAATCTATATAGCACACCAAACTTTGCACTCCTTATACAGTTCTTTCTCCACTTCTAGCTGGAAGTCGACAGCAAGGACTAAGGGCAAACCCTTTGAGGCAGACTATGTCTACAGGGTCTGAGACAAATGAGATAATTTCATCTGAAAAACAGGACGAACAATGGTCCCTATACTGCACAGTGATGAGAAAATAAGCACTTGCAGAATGCTTGTAGAGTGTCAATTGGCATCATAGAAATGTTAGCTGTCTTTTATAATTACTTAGTTTCTGGCAAAGCTCTCTCACCAGGAAGAAATAACACAACCTCACCTATGTATGAAGCCATCAAATTCAATGACTCAGAACTTCATATACTTAATGAGACCATCCCATATTAAATAGTACTAATCCCAACACAACACTAAATACTGCCAACAAGCATATCCATGAAGCCAGGACAATTCTCCCTCCATCTCCTTCTACACATAATCCTTTTCAAAGGCAATTGGAGCACTCTTTAGTTAGGAGAGTCAAAAACATAGCTTCATGAGAACTTGCTTCAGCAGATCCCTACAGTACCAAATGAAGGGAAGCCTACAGTCCACTCAGGAGTCCAGCTGGACTCAAAAGAAGAGGAGGGAGCTCAAGGCCAGCTCCTCTATGATAGAGAGGACCTTCAGCCCTCCTTTACCCACACCCCAGAGCTAAGAGCCACCTAGTTCTGGACACACATGTGTATGCATTTTCTAATTTAGTCTAATTCCCTGAATAACATTACTGAAGGCCAGATGATCAAAATCATGGGCTTGTGACAGTGAAAATAGACAAGTGAAGGATTCATGGTGACTCACCAAAACCAACTGTCATTTAGAAACACTTGGTGAGACCAAGGAAACTGGAGGTGACTCAGTGAGTGCACGCTTGCCGATCAATCCTAAGGGCTGAGTT